GCCTACTCATTTGGATTTAGTGACTTTCCCTGGAAGATTCTACCCATTATGATAGGTCATCACACATAGATATGTTCATGCTGTGACTGCTTCTACTTCCCTGTAAAACATTCTCCTGCACTCAGTATGAACTCCTTGGCTAAAGAGAAGTCTGCGGTGTATTTAGCTGGAGGTCTGGGATGGCAAGCATTTCTGGAAGCTGATACTGGTGTCAGGAGTAAGCTGACAGCAGCCTGAATCTTACCATATTATCCCTGCCAGATGGCTCAAAGAAGTCATTTATGCTTGAGAAAGGTAAGTAGCAAGTTTGAGGACCTCAGGATAAACAAAAGTAAAACTCTTAAAAGATAATTAATTAACTTGAGAGAGGTAGGCTAGGATGGAGATATGATTTTGGTTGTTTCTTTTCTTTCTTTCTTTTTTTTTTTTTGTGGTTTTTTTCGTTTTTATCGGTACCAGGGATCGAACTCACGACTGCCTGCTTGCAAGGCAGGCACTTATGCCACTGAGCTAAATCCCCAACCCCTATTTTGGTTGTTTCTTTACCTTTCACATGAAAAGAAACACACAGCAATTGGTTGTACTCACTGGTACTTTAGAAGACTTCCTTTTGGCTTTTTAAGTGTTTGATTCTGTTCAGAAGTCACCACCCTTGACAAGGCTGATGTGTTGAGCTGTTAACTGTCACACCAGTGCCAGTAGAAGGTTTGATAGGGGAGTCTCGGAGAAAGGAAGAACGGGAGTGCTGAGGAGGGGAAAGAAAGAGCCCATAGTGAAGAGCAGCTCAAGGACTTGAAAGGACACCAACAAATCTTCAGGGACTCTTGGGGTGTGTTTGATGCTTACTTGCATAGTTGAGGTTTCTGTATGCCCAGGGAATGTGCCCTTGACACGTCCTTGGCAGTGGCTCTAAGTTCTGCTTCTTTACGACATGAATTCTGGCCTGGTCAGACTTTCTCCTCATGGTTGTTGCAATGGGTCAGACCTCAACTTAGGCTTCTGTTGCTCTTGCTTCCTGCACTAATGCTGTCCCTCTCCACATCTGCCACCCTCCCAGTACTTGCCTTCTCTCCCTCCCAGTCCTTGACTGCCCTCCCATCTCTTTACTCTTTTTATGTCATGGATAGTCAGCATCTGAGGACATTTGGCTTTGTTTTGTACCATATTTACTGTGGGTTTAAGTATGTCCCATGAAATCATGTGATCATATTAAACACAAAATAATCTTACAGTGAATTAGAGAAGGAAATGAACATTGTAATAAATCACAGGAGGAATTGATAGTTAAAGATTGAAAACCTTTTGTTTATAAACAAGTCTTCTGCAAGTCTTTCATTTATAAATGTAGATCTTGACAGTTCGTATGAAATAATTCTCAGTGTTACTTGCTTGTGTAAAAACGGTGTTTTTCATCTTCTTGGGCCAGTATTCTGCAGAACACAATGTCTAGAAGGGCTGCTGTAACTGGCTTCAATTCTAGAAGGATGGAAACCATAGTGTCTTCTACTGTGGGTCTCAAGTTAGTTTTGGGCAACAGTAGGCAGGTTGTGGTGATTTCCAAGTAAATTCTTAGTACTAGTTGTTTGTTTGGTTGGTTTTGGCAGGATCTCACTATTAGCAGTTCTAGCCTCAAACCCATGGTATCATACTCCTGCCTCAGCTTCTCAAGTGCTGGGAATATAGGCATGTACCACCATGCCTGGCTGTTGTATTTTCTAAAAAAACTTTTTATTGTGGTTAAAATGCATATGAAGCTATGGATTTAGCTCAGTGGCATAAGCAGTTGCCTGGCAAGTACGAGGTTGTGAGTTTGATCCCCAGTACCCCCTATATATATGAAATCCACCATATAAAGATGTACAATATAGTGACATTTAATATGTTCCCAATGTTGTACATTTCTTACCACCATGTAGTACCAGAACATTTTTGTCATCATCCCTAGGAGGAAACTGTATACCCATTAAACGTCTCTCCATTTTATCACCCTAAGCCCATAGCAACTGCTAGTGTGCTTTCTCTCTGTGGATTTGCCTCTTTAGAACATTTTTTAAATTTTATCTATTTTATTTATTTACTTATTTTGTCTTTTGCTATGCAGTTCAGGCTGGGCTTGGGCTCACTTTGTACCCATGCTGGTTATGAACTTGCAACAATCCTCCTGCCTTAGCTTTCTGAGTCCTTGGATTACAGGAGTGCAGATTTTATATAAATGTACCCGTATAATATATGGTCATATGTTCTGGGCTTCCTTTCTTTAGTAAAATTTTGGTAAAGATACACTAAAGATCTGACCTGGATATCACTGTTCCTTCAAAACTGCTCTTTATCATTGACCAGACACCCAGAATATACTGGATAACTTAAAAAGCAGTAATCGGTGTAAAAACAGACGTGGCCAAGTGAAAAGTATCATAAGATACATTAGAAAAAAGGTCAGAAATGTGTGTACCATTGTTAGGGTGGGACCTGGGTTTTCAGGAAGCGTGCTTAAATCATGCTGGCTTGGGGCCGGGAATTTAGCTCAGTGGCATAAGCACCTGCCTGGCAAGCATAAGGTTATGAGTTCAATCACAGGTACCAAAAAAAAAAAAAAAAAAAAAAAAAAAAAAAGAAATCATGATGGCTTGAACTGAACCTTAAACCTTTTCCTAGAAATCAGAGATGACACAATTGGCTTATCATCTCTTTCCTCCTTCTAGTCATTAGTCTTAGGCTACTCATCCCTTTAATAACAGTAGAACATTCTAGATGGGCCAAAGCCCTGGAGGGACTTCTCAGAAGGAAGATTTATGTACTGTAGAACTTTCATTGGTCCTTGAGCCCTTCCCACCTCCCCATCTTGTCTCTTGAAATTCTCAGGAGGTTCAGGGGTACTTGGCCCGTGGCAAAAACAGCTGCCGGCAGCACCTTTTAGCACCTTGGGCTTACGCAACTCCTTGTACATTGTGCTATGAAATTCAAGTGCCAAGGACCTCTCATCTCTGAGCTATATTCTTTGTCCTCCCCTCACTGTTGTCTCTGGAGTTCAGGCATACTTCTGTCTCAAGGAGTGTCACCTCCTAAATACCCATTTTCACTGTGCCTTGTTCTGCCAAAGGACCTGTGATACTGCTTTGGATCCAAATTCTTTTCTAGTGTGTGCCTTTCTCTTTGCCTTCTCTGTGTGGACTGTGACCTTTTCTACTGTGTATTGTCATTCTTCTTCCCCCTTCATGTCATCTCTTAGCAACCCTTTCTCAGGCTTAGAATAACTGGCTTGCCTGATGAGTCTTCCCTTCTCAGCAGATGCACAGAGTTCCCCCAAACATTCTAGCAACTCTTGTTGCGTGTGATAAATTTGCGTTGCATTCAAATAGAGCATAAGTTAGATTTTCTGTCTTGGTTTTTCTCTCTTGTCAGGTGGCAGCTCTCAGAGAAAGGGACCTATAAAGTAATCATGCAAAATGAGATGGCACCAAATTGTCAATCCAAGGGCCAGGTTGGCCTCTAGGTATGCCACTTGCCTTTTTTTTGAGGGGGAGGTCTTTTTTAGTCAGTCTCTCTAACAAGCTGGCCTTCAGTTCACTGTGTAGCCCAGGCTGGTCTCGAACTTGTAACCATCCTCTTGCCTCAGCCTCCAAAATGTTGGATTACAGGTGTGCACCACCACATCTGGCTTCAAAACACTTACCTTGAACCTTTCTTCTAATCAGTAAAATGAGAGAAAGAGAGAGTAGGTATATTGGTTTCTTATTTGTTACTATAACAGATTATTACAAATATAGTGGTTTAAAGTGATACAATTAATTTTCTTACATTGTAGAAGTCTAAAGTGAGTCTGCAGGGTTGCATTCCTTCTGGAAGCTCTAGGGGACAATCTGTTTCCTTGGTTTTCCAGCTTCTGGAGGCTGCCTGCTTTCCTTAATTAGTGGTCTGCTTCTCCATGTCCAAAGCATATCACTCTGGTCTCTGCTTCTGTTGTCACATCTCTGTCTCTCTCTCATGCCTCTTTTATTTCCTCTTCAGGACCCTTGTAATACATTAAGCTCCTCTGAAAACCCAAGGAACGTTTCCCATAAGAAACTTAATAACATCTGAAAGGATCTTTTGTTATGTAAGATAATTTATTCACAGGATCTGGAGATTAGGACATAAATGTCTTTGGGGTCTGTTACTTTGTCTACAGTGGATTCATAGGTCTCCTGGGTTTTTAACTTGTCACAGATCTTAAGATGTATCTTCTACTTACAAATAAGCTTAGGACACATGGTACTGAGTGCATCAACTTCTTGTTAAGTCACATTTATCCACAAGATTTTGAATTTCCAGATTATTTTTAGGGATGCTAGGGCCTGCTACAATTAGTGATAGCACTGTGAGCGTGACTCTTAGGATTGCTCTGGTTTTTGATCGCTTACATGAGAACATTTGATGATGCTACGCTAGCTTTAATTTTGTGCTTTGCGAATTTTAAAAAGACCTCAAAATACTTCATCTATTTCCAATTAGCCATGGATAGTCTTCTGTATCCTCTTAGTTATACTTGTGATTCTCCTGGTTTCTAGTTGTCTTTCCATAGAGTCCTTCAGGTCCTCTTCTATAAGTTGAAATAAATGTGTTGCTAAAGTCTAGAAGCCAGTCTTGTATTCTAACCTAGGTGCTGTCATTATAATTGGTACTTAATTTTAAATTTATGATATTTCACAGCAATTTAGATTGGCATTATATGGGAGTTGTGTTCCCCACTCCACTACCTTTTCACCTTGAATGACTACCATTTAGAAATCTGAGAGAAGGCATCTATGAAATATATTTGTATGGTAACTTAATTGTGTTCTTGTGTTCTCCTTAATGCTCTGCTTATTGTCTTAAAATAGGATTCTTCAAAAGTTGATAAAACTGTTCCTGCCTTAAAGTTTCAAGCCTGCTTTTGGCTGGAATGTAAGAAGTACACAGTATGAACCAAGCAAATAATGTAGCTGGCCTATTGAAAATTTTTTTTCCGTTTTGTCTCCTAGATGCACCCGCTGGGCCTGTGTAATAACAATGATGAGGAGGACTTGTATGAATATGGCTGGGTAGGAGTGGTGAAGCTGGAACAGCCAGAATTGGACCCAAAACCATGCCTCACTGTCCTGGGCAAGGTAAGCACCCAGCCCTCCAAATTGTCACTCTAGTTGCAAAATTGCAAATTTTGCAAGATTGCAAAATTTAAAAAACCTAAATGGTTTTTCACTCAACCATTTCCCCAATGTTTCAAATACAGTAATACCTTGGTTCAGGAACACTTTGGTTTGCAAACAAAAACATTTGGCAAAATTTTGCTTCTGTTTGCAAATTCTGTATCAGGTGACAAATATATAGGACCACGGCCGTCTTCCTCAAAATTATAAAATAAATTAAATTTGTAAACTGAGGTACCACTGTAGTTGGGTATGGGGAAGAGCCATTTCAACCCAGTTGTCCGTCATGGCTGAAGTTACGAGAGTTGAGGACTCAGACATGTCTTGCAGCAGCCTGTTAATGATGTTCGTGGGTTCAGGTTCAGAAGAAGGCTGTCAGCTTCAGTTGGCTTTATCTATTGTCTCCTTGGTGGCTTTGGGAAAATTGCTTCCCCTCAAGGAAGCTGTTCCATGTCTATAAAATGATTTATAATAGACTTTTTCAGTACTTTATCTTACACCCTTGGGGCCAGATGTTTCATAATTATGAGATTTGGGGGCTTAGAGAGAATTGTTTTCCATTAGGTAATCTCTAGGGAATCTGGGGAAACACTTAGTAATCATACTCCTTCATATTTGTATAGCAAACCATATGGATATTCACATTAAATAAGAAAGCTAAAATCTAAGTAACTCATGTTAGGTTAGAGCAGCTTTGCCTTCAAATGAGTTCAGGTCCATTAAGTTTTGCTGCCAACTAAATTACGGAAAAACTCTTAGGTTTTAGAGCTTTTTTGGTTTTAGAATGGTAGACAGCAATTATGGTCTTGTTTAGAACTTACCTCATAGGGTGGTTAGGAGGTGAGATGAGATGCAAATGCCTTGTGCTAGAGTAAATCTTCAAAAAACATTCACTGCCATTGGCCGCTGTCACCCCATTTAGAAGTACTAAAAAAGACTTTTTTAGCCAAGAAGGTCAACATTACTTCTGACTGCAACGTAAGGCAGAAATAAATTTACTTTGGAAAACCATCCATCAAGGACCTTAAAATATAACAGGTAACAGTCTGTTTTAAAGTAGATCATTTTGTTAAAAGGAAAGGTGCAGAGAAAGTTATTTGAATTTTTGGTTGAGGGAAAAGTAGTATCCCTTAAGGGTAATGTTATTGTCCTAATATTTTTTATATTCTCAAAAGTTGCACTTGTAGGTGCTATGGCAAAGACTTTTAGAATAGCATGGGAGTTTCTCCTAGTGCCTTACATCTTAGGCCCTCTTAAGAGATCAAGTAAGAGAAGAGTGGTTTTGACTCAAAGACCCAGAGGGACCCAAAGAAGCCTCTGCCAATGTCTCCTAAATAACTTCTGACCCCAGAGTCCTTCACACATCTAATCTGTGGCTTTTATGACCTTTTTGTTTTGAGAGCACTTATCAAATTTCCTTGCCTTTTTATTGAAAAGTGGAAAACCTAGAGGAATTACTGCCTATTTGGTTTGCAGTTTGAAGTTGAATCAAGGTGGTTTAGGTAGTTTAGGCTGTGATACTTCATTGTTTGAATAGTTAACCAGAGCTAATTAATGGTGGTGGAAGAGTAGTTACACTCCTAGGAAAAATGCCAGTTGCATCCAAAGGGTAGAAATAATGCGTTTCTTGTAGATACTTTGTTTCTAATAGAGACTGTTTTCTCCTGTACTTAAATTGTTTTTATGTAGCACTGGGCTCTTTGTCTTTATTTACTTTGCCCCAGTCTGTTAAGGCTCCATCTTTATGTCTGTCAATAAATGGGTTGAAACAGTGCTCACAGGGACACCCTATTATTTCCGCCCCTCCTGAGATATCCATGCTATGGTTTTACTTGGAGAAGTTTGTGTGGTTTGCTTGGTGGCCTGTGAAAGAGGGAGGGCAATGGAAACCTTAGATATATATTAAGTCATTAAGTACTTTTTAGGTTTATTCATTCACCAAATAATAATTCAATGCAGAGGGCAAGGAACTAAGTCTGTGGTTCTACCTGGCTGACAGCAGCAGGCAGCTCCATGTTTGTTTGAGAAGTCTGGGAGGATGACAAGGCAGCATCTGCTTATGGTTAGTTAGTGCCATTGGCTTAAAATTGACACTTAAATCATTAGCAGAAATGCTTGCTTGGGGCCAAACAAAATAAGACAGTTTCATTTTCGCCTAAAATCTCCCTGCTTGTCTCTGTCTGTCATCTTCTTAAAACGTGATTGTTAGCCAGGTGTGGTGGTGCACACCTATATTTCCCAGCCTGTAATCCCAGCACTCCAGGAGACTGAAGCAAGAGGCATCACCATGAGTTTGAGACTCTCCTGAACTACAAAGCAAAACCTGGTGTAAATAAATAAATAAATGGTTGTTTTCAACTTTATTTTCATTAACTTTGCTGTGTCTGTCTGTCTTTCTTTCTTTCTTTCTTTCTTTCTTTCTTTCTTTCTTTCTTTCTTTCTTTCTTTCCCTGTAAAGAGTGGCAAAGCAATCCTTATAGACAGTTCAGTTTCCTGTAGATAGCATGATTTTCCTTCTACTTCTTCATTTTTAGTGGCTATAGGAAGAAGGGGTAGACAGCAAAGAGAGGTACAAAAGACATAGAAAGAAGGCTAGAGAAGTAACCAACAACAGTAGAGCCCTTACCTACCATATATAAGGCCCTAGGTTCAATCCCCTGCAAAGAAAAAAAGTTAAAAAGGCTTAGGGAAGAAGTACAGCTAGGCCACTGAACTGTGGATGGGGTGGAGGACTCCTGGGTTGTTGCTGAGACTTGTTGAAAACTAGAGAAGGGAGGCCTCGTCAGCCATAGCAGGCCAGGTATTCAGAAAGTCTATAGAAGCTGTGAAATAGTTCAGTGGCACAGTGCCTGCCTGGCAAGCTCAAGGTCATGAGTTCAATCCCTGGTATCTCCCCCAGCCCCACCCAAAAGTCTGTAGAATAATGGAGGGCTAGACACAGACCCCTCTCACCCCACTCTCCCTATCTGTTAACTATCCTTGCCACCTACCCATCCACAGAAAATACCACAGGGAAAAACCTTGAAATAACAGAAATAGGCAAAAAAACCTTTTTTTAAAAGTCCATGAGTTCAAATAAAAGCAAAAAATAAAACATTACCTTGTTTTGTTGCTGAGCACGTTTAAACTCAGGCAACACTATAACCTCATGAGAGAAAAACGACTTAGGACTCTCCTTTCGATTCTGTGGGTAAGGTACAAACTATAAGATCTACTACGGAGGCAGAGGCAGAACTGGGGTGTGGGCAGCCCTCTCCCCACCACCACCACCAAGTAGTAGGCCAGGGTGCCCAGCAAGGCCAAGAGCAAGTCTCTTCAGTCTGGGCCTTGCTTTTTCACTTAAATGTAAAGAGGCTACTCTCTTGGGCCCTTGCTTTTCTCATATTTTGAGTGTCTGGATCATATTTATAAATCTTTCCTCAATATTCTAGTTGAGATTTTAGTTACAATACTGAAGGACAGGCTCCATTACTGGTAACATTTTAAGTCCTAAGAAATGAAAACAAAATTGGCATTTCTGGGCAGCTTGCATTGAAAAGTAAGGGTTTTAAATTATCCCCAAAGTGCAAAGAGTCTATGTTCATGCTCGGAGCATGCATTTTAACCCTTCTACTCAGCCATTATTAAGCATTTTAAGAAACTGCAAAGAATTTAGAAGGCTGATTTTAAATAATTAGCTCCTATAACCCAGCAACCATAAGAGCGTCTGTTGCTCCAAAACACAAAATATGCTGGTCTTTCTAGTGAAGGCCATTTGGTCCTCTTCTGTATCTCCAGGCAGAATAGACCTAGTCCCAGCCCTCCAGGTTAGAGCAGTTCCTAAGGAGAGTTTTGAAAGATAGCATGTTCATCAGACATGCTTCTTTTCAGGGCTTAAGAAGACAGTATGAGGAAGTTAATAAAGTATAAGAAAGGTGGGGGATTTCATGTCGTAGTGACCTTGCCTTGGCTGAGTGACCTTACAAAGGTGACTTCAGTTATCCATGACCTACTCTTTTGTGACAGAGTACTACTGCTGCCTTTGTCATTGTGGAGGTTTTGGGAGATATTCTTGGCTCTACAAATATCAATGCCTGATGAGAGTGTACAAGCAACCATCTTGTGTTGTGTGCCCACAGTGTGCTGGGAGCTTTATATCTAGATTCTTCATTTATTATCATCCTGTCCCATTCTCTTATTATGGTGAAGAAATTGACTCCCAGAGAGGTTTTCTGTATAACCTGAAATAGCTCATAAGAGCTGACATATGAAATAAGAGCAGTCTACTCCTTTATTGGTACTGTATCATTCCCCTTTCTTCTGTCTTGGCCAATTTTTCTTAATAATTGTATGCCATTTTCAGTGTGTTCAGGCTTGATCGCGACTGTTGGGTCCACATGGTTAGAATCTCTGTCAGGCTCCATTGACAGAAAAGGGAAATTTGCTCTCAATGTCCTGGGCAGTGTCCCAGAAGCCTTGTCTGGGTGCTGCTGTTCTTCCAAAGCCAGCTGGCTCCCTCCCCTTCTCTGTGCATCTTTTGTATTCCCTGCTGCCTTTGCCTACTTGTTGGGAGGCACAAACCCCCAATATCTCTGGGTCTGATGCACTTTGTTTTGAGTATAAAAAATTGCAGAAAAAAGTTTCTCAAGTTATTATGGTTTAGGGTTAGGGTTAGCATTAGATATAAACATTATGATTTAGATATAAAAATGTCACTCAGTAGACTCATGTATTTGAAAGGTGATTGGATCATTGGGGGTGAGTTCAAGTATTTTGTGTGCTGTTAATTGGTAGGAGCCTGGTTGGAAGAGATGGGTCACTGGGAGTGTGACCTAGAAGGGTGTATTCTTATCCTTGGCTCCTCCCTTTCCTCTCTGCTTCCAGGCTGCTATGGTGGGCAGTTTTTTTCCACCATGCCCTTCCACCATATCACTTCTGCCTCGCAGCCAGCCAGTCAGCCATGTACTAAAACTTCCAAATTG